CTGTACGCAGGCCTCTCACTGTTGTGGCCTCTCCCGCTGCGGAGCACAGGCTCTGGATGCGCAGGCTCAGTGGCCATGGCTCACGGGCCCAGCCGCTCCGCGGCATGTGGGATCTTCCCGGACCAGGGCACGAACCCGCATCCCCTGCATCGGCAGGCGGACTCTCAACCACTGCGCCACCAGGGAAGCCCCTGATCCTTACACTTTTGCCCCAGTAGCCAAGTAACTACCAGGTCCCTTTCTTTTATCACCACACATCACTTTGCTGCCCTTCCTTTCCAACTCCTATCGAGACCCTTACTGTAGCTCCCAACCTGCCTCCCGACCTTCAGTCTCTCCCACCACTAGCCCACCATGCACATGCCATCATGATAATCTCCTAAAACTCGCTTTCATCCCATCCTTCCCCAGCTCAAACTTTATCAATGGCTGCCTACTGCCAACAGGATAAAACCCAAACCCCTTGGCATACTTTCCAAGGCCTACCCAATCTGGACCTAACTGTATCTTCTAACTTTCCCACACCTTCCCATATCCTAATCCTCTGTCCTGGCCACTGGCCTCCTCCGTCAGTCAAATCTCTTCTGGTCACCACCAACCTATGGCCTTTATTCATGCTCTTCTCTGCTTCAAGTCCCTTTCCTCACCTACATCTGTGCCTGTGAAGCCATACCTCTGCTTCAAGGACAGTTCCAGCCTCACTTCCTCTAAGAAGCTTTCCCTGACCACTTCACGGAATGAGCCTATGAGCCCTGTCCTCCCAAGAAGATGACCAACCCCTTCAAGGCCCCATCCCACATTCCTCTCTTTCTCCAGAGCTTAGCACAAACTAAACATATAGTAGGTACTTAGTCAACATCTGTTCAGTAGTGATAACATTACAGGTTCTTTTCCTTTTTTCTCTGAGTACCAAGAAAGTTAGAAATGTCTTTCTACTCAAGAGATTTTTTTGGGTGGGTCTACTATGTGCTGAGCACTGTGCTGGTTGTTGGGGTGGGGAGGTGACCCAAAGATGAATGACACAGGCCTCAAGCAGAAAGACCTTAGACATAATGAAGTTCTTATTCTAGGCTCCACTGGTGGGCTTTATGAGTTCCAGAGCCCCCTGAAATGGTATGAAAAATTTCCTGGACATGTGAGTGCATGGTTCTGGAGAGAAGGCTCATGGCTTTCATTAGCTGCTCAAATGGGTTTTGATCACCCTGAAGCGCAAGGGTCACTGCCCTAAGGAAAGAGCGGACACACTGCATGAGATACATACTCAACAGAGAAAGCACTGAGCTGAGCTGAGCTGAGCTGAGCTGAGCTGAGCTGAGCTGTCAGGGGAAGGAGAGGAAGCCTTCATGCAAAAACGGGAGCTCAGCTGTTCCTTGCTGAGCAGGAAGAGCTCCAGGGGGAAGAGAGGGGAGAAGGCACAAGAGGCAGAAGGTGTGGTCTGAGCCGAGGCCTGGAGGTGTGGGAGTGTGTGGTATCTTTGGGGAGCAGTCTGTGGTCTGAGGGGGCTGGGGCATGGGGTGTATAAGGAGATTCCTGCCGTTTGCCCAACAAAGAGGCTCTTTCAGGCTTGGGCTCATGCACTGTCATATGGCCTCAGGTGAGTCCACACCCCAGAGAGGCTGCAGGAGAAACCAGTCAGTCCTCCCTCCACTGGGGGCCCAGGGCAGGGGGCAAGCCAGCTGCCAGGAGAAGTCAAGGACGTTGTTCTAATGAGGTATGGCAAGGAAGCTTCTAGATGCTTCTCTGTATGGAGAGCATAAAGCTGGTTGGCCCAAGCAGGTGCTGGGTGTGGGGCTGTTTTCCTCTAGATATGCCATCATGGGTGGGGGGACGACGGCGGATGTGCGGAAGCCAAGAGAGAGAAGGAGGTCTTTTCTTTACACACCAAAACACCAATCTGGGTCGGCTCTGAATGGGACGGTTCTCCCAGCATCCAAACAGCAGATCCCCCAGGTGGGCAGCCCCTGGGAACCCGAGAGAGGAAAGAGTTTGGAGACCCAGCCTTGGGGTCAGGGCATCTGGGCACCAACAACTGGCCAGCTGCAGGCAGACCTGACTGGAGGGCGTCCAACACCCCAGGCCCCACCTCTGCCCCTGGTGCAGTTCAGGCTGAACAGAGTTTCTCGTTCCCAACGTGCCAGGCTCACTTCTCACTCAGGGCCTTGGTAGCGTACGCTTAGAACCTCTGTCCCTCCTCCTCCTCCCACGGCTGGCTCCTTCTTATAGTCGAGTTTCATCACAAATATTCCTTCCAGGTTCAGGGGAACCTTCCCTGGCCACCCAGTCTGAAGTGGCTGCCCCCTTCCATCTCAAGCCCCTGACAACTGATATACAGGCAGGCGGGGGATCCTTGCACCCCGCTGCCCAAAGAGCAAATCCAGAGCAGCCCACTCCCAGGAAACACCTTCTCCAGCTGCCTGGCTCACTTTAGCCTAAGGTGAAATAACACAGAAGGTGCCCCAGGGCCTGGAGGCCTTTGCCAGCCAGAAGGACTGTGCCTGACAAACCTGTGCTGCCCCGCAGACCGGTCAGGCATCTGCCATGGTGCCACCTGCCAGAAGAGGACTGGGCTCCAGCTCCTCTCTGTGGCCAGTGGACTCTCCAGGGAGTCCCCACTCTGCTCTTGGTCTCCCTTCCCAGAGGAGCCTTTCCTGATCTCCTACTTGAGGGTTGTCTCGACCAGGAATCCCACAGAAGCCAAGGGGGTCCCACAGTATAGTCCTTAATATATCATCTTCCTAGCAATTCCCAAGCAATCATCTCTCTATTCAGGATAATAAAATGGGAAAAAAAAAAATCCCCCCGGGAACAACAAACGTTTTCCAAAGCTGAAGGAGAAAAGCATTCTGAAGTCACACTGACTGTCTGGGTTATAATCAGGGCAGGAGGTTTTGGGGAAAGAAGACTGGTTGGGAGGTGGGCCTGGCGGTGAACACACATACTCCTGGAAGATCTCACAGGCTGTGGTTGTGTGTGCCTGCGTGCATGTGTGTTTGTGTGGGTGTTTGTGTAAGGTGTGAGCTGTGGACACATGAGCTTTTGCACTGAGCCTGTCGTCTGGTTAACTGAGATTCAGGCTCCATGCTCTCTGTTTGGCCAAAAGGCAGACAGAAAGACCAAAGGCCTGTGGCCTGTCCCATGTCTGAAGATCATACCAGGCATTTCCTGCTCTGGGCTTTAATGCCTGAGTTGAGTAAAGTGAGTTAATACTTGTAAGGTGCTTAGCACAGTGCCTGGCAGCTAGTAGGTGTTCAATACAAGAGAGCTATTTGTATAACCACTTGTGGCCATTATCATTAAAAATGAATGAAGCCCTGTAACTTGTCTGGCTACTTGTAACCTGTCTTGGCTACTTCTGATGATCTGAGTTGCTCTTTGCTGACTGGTTTCTCCAGCTCCACTCCTACTGTGCTCGTTCCTGTATCCCCAGGAAGTCCTGGCACACTGTACGCTCAGTGAATACTTAGTGGAAACAAGACTGAAGAACCCAGTGCCCCTGGCTCTGCAGGCCCTGTGGCTCTATGACCAAATCCAAAGCTGGTCCCTGGGGAGAAGTACTTCCTCTGCAGAACCAGCTTCCAGACTCAGCCTGGCAGAGGGGCAGCGCCCGGCTTCCCCACCCCAGGCTGGCCTTGGACACACTCTCAGTCACCCAGTTCCCATCTTCTGGGAGGAGGCAATGCCTGAGCTGGGATGACTCTGTCGCATGGAATTAGGATTTTGTGCATAAAATACTGAAGTTTACATTTAAAGCTATCTGTCGCAGATGATTTATCAGACCCAGAGAAGGTGAGGATAGTTTTCCTCTGTGAGGGAGGTGATTTTTTAGCCAAGACAGGATATATACACTATGTATAACCAAACCACTCAGTAATCGGAGATTAACGCTCTCCGTCCAGAGGCTCCAAGGAGGGGCCCAGTCGCTTGGAGGCCTCCACCTGCTCCCCTCCTCACGCTTCAGGTCACAGGAGGGGGATCGCTGGGATTCAGGGTCCCACCAGGAGACAAAGAGTCACTTTTAGATAGACTTATCTGAGGCTGTTTTCCCTCCCTCCCCCCCACCTTTTATTTGGCTTTGCCAGTATAGCTGTGTAAGGTTCAGTCTTACAGTTAACACAAATGTTTGCAAAAAAGAGGCTTTTACAACTTATTCCATTCACCGCTTATCAGATGCCTGGAAACTCAACTGAAAAACTGTCCCTGTTCTAGGATGTCAACCTCCTACAGGAAGGAGAGCCTCTTCGGTCCTCAGACTCACTTCGGAGGGGCAGAAAACACAACCTATGGGGCAAAGGAGGGAAGAGACTGAATTCAAATGGCTGCCCCACCCCCAACAAGGTAAGGAAAGCTCTCCTAAGGAGGGAAGATGGTGGCCAGGTGGGGCTTGTTTTGTCTAAGAAATATTTTTTCTGTTCAAGTTAATTGCCCAAGGGCACGTACTTGGACAATGTTGCGAGAGTCCCAGTTTAGGGCAGTCACCAACCCTTTCTCATCTGCAAAATAAACCCTGGAATTCTGTGGCTGTTGTCTCCTTCCTTGGCGATTGTGCTGTGGCGGTCTGCTTGTCACCAGAGCCCCTGTTTGACTGTATTGGCCAGGTCGACTGGTACCCTGGTGGGTGACACAGCACAGTCTCGTCCTGTCCCTGCACGGCAGCCTGGCCTTATAAAGAGGACGCAGCGGGTACCGGAGACGGCCCTCTCCTCCCTGTGTGAATGGGCGCAGCAGCCTACCTTTCTCTCCTTGTCACCATATTCGATGCCCAAAGTGTCCATGGCCCGGACGATGGCTGCCAGGGACTGGATGGTGTTGCTGTAGACAACGGGCTTGTACTGTTTCACATCTTCTCCAGAGAAGCCATCTTCATGGATGATCCTAGAGCAAAACCACACACAGCATGCCTGATGAGTGTGCTGTCCACACCTGGCACCGAGCGTGCCAGGCATGTGAAGCCCCACCCCAGCCGACCTCCCGGCTTAGCTGGCTGAGGGTCGGGCCCAGCTCGGATGCTGAATTACTGAGCTGTTGTGATAAAACCACAAAATCTGAAGGAAAAATCGACCTAAATTACTGAAAATTAATCTGAAAAACAGAACAGTGGAAAAAAGAAATGCAGTCTTTTAACATTCCCTATGTACAGTGAAAGAAAGATCAGTCAAGGGGTTGATAATACTTGAAAGCACTTAGAACACACACTAAGCACTCGATAAATGTTCGCCATTAGTTTTTTTTTTTTTTCGGTACACGGGCCTCACACTGTCGTGGCCTTCCCCGTTGAGGAGCACAGGCTCCGGACGCACAAGCTCAGCGGCCATGGCTCACGGGTCCAGCCGCTCCGCGGCATGTGGGATCCTCCCAGACCGGGGCACAAACCCTTGTCCCCTGCATCGGCAGGCGGACTCTCAACCACTGCACCACAAGGGAAGCCCGGCCATTAGTATTTTTAAGCAAAGCTCAGGGTTTTAACTTAAATATCCGCTTAGGAGTATACTGCTGAAGACCCCTGCGAGAAGCCTGCAAACGAAGAATACATTTTTTCTTTCACAGAAAACTTACACTGCTTTTAATGAAGGGAAGAGCACTCACTTAAAACCTTCCTCTTTGACAAGAGAAAAGCCAACAGAAGGAGTTGCCTACTTCCCCATCCTCAGCTGGGATGTGACCACTGTGTCACCCTTATTCTGATGGCTCTGAACATGACATGGAGGACACAAAGGCGACACTGCGGTTCTGAGAGGCCATGCGACACTCCCTGCCCTCCTGTTCTCAGGTTCCTCTGGGGTCAGGGCTGAGGCTGGACATGCCCTGAGGTCCCTGTCGCCTGCAGATGGCGGCCGCTCAGTGAACGCCCGCTGCCGACGAGGGTCTGGGGAGGAGAGAGAACTAGAGAGGGGGTAAAGCCAAGCCTTTGCAAGAATCCTCTCATAGTTGAGGTAATTAAGAAAGGACAAATGGATTTCAAGACTAACATCCAACATTAGTCATCCCCCATGCAAACTCTCCTGTGGTCATGTTTTTCAGTCCAAGACTGAACGCTACCTGTAACATGTACATCCACCTGTATAGTAGCTCAGACCTCCATTCCCACCTCCACAGCCCCTCTCCGGCCCTTCACGTCCTTCAGTACAGGAGAAAACTGCTAACAAGTTTTCTTTCTTTGTATAAACAGTTTTACTGAGATATAGTTCACAGACCATACAATCTACCCATGGAAAGCGTGTGATTCAGTACTTCTTAGTATATTCACAAGGTTGGGCAATGGTCACCACAGGCTAATTTTAGACCATTTCTGTCCTCTCCAAAAGAAATTCTGTACCCATTAGCAGTCCCTACCCATCCCCTACCCCAGCAGTAAGCAACCACTCATCTGATCTGCCTTCTGTTTTTATAAATTTGCCTATTCTGGACATTTCACATAAAGGCAATCACACGAGGTGTCGTCTTTTGTGACTAGTTTCTTTCACTTGGCATGTTCATCCATGTTGTAGCATGCATCAGTACTCCCTTTCTTTTTATTTCCAAACTAGATTCCATGTACAGATATACCACGTTTTACTTATCCATTCATCAGCTGATGGACACTAGTGATTCCTGTTATAAAATGTGACTTGGTGCTAGGTTGTGAGTCTTTATCCTGAGTTTCTCTAGGAAGTAGATCAAAATGATGCTATTGCCTTTTCACTGACTTTTATTAGCCCTAACTCCGTTTTTGTACAAATTTCTTGAGTGTACACCCAGTCTGAGGCACTGGTGCACAACCCCAGGGGGATCTCAAAGGGAATTGTTAGTTTCCACTGTAAACAGCCAGAAAACTGGACAAAATATATTAAACAAGTGGTTTCAGATACTGGAGAACAGGCAGCACAGGACCATGATCTGGAACAGAAAGGAAGCAAAGCGTGGTGAGTCCTATGATTGCCTTGGCTTTCTGCCTGGAGGCATCTACCAGACCTCAGTGCAGGGAGGGAGGACCCAAGCAGAGCACAGGGGTCTTACTTACCCCTGATGGGATAAAGATAAAAGTTCAGGAAAGCTGTGGGGATTGGGAATTGAAGGGCAGAGTACCAGAGAGAAAAGTGCAGAGAGAAGGAGAGCTCCAGATATCTGAACAGGGGTCTCCTTGAGTCTTTGGCTGAATAGAGTGAGACTCTATGAGCTCAAGAAACAAGTGTCAGGGAGCTTATAAGGTGGACACCTCCCAGAGCTGGCCCAAGGCTGGGAGGTGCTCAAGTTCCGACTAACCAGAGTGGAGAGCTGACACCTAGGGCATTTGGCAGAAACCCCAGAAAGCTCATGCCATGGTAGTAGGGCTAAACTAGCCCTAGAGTAAAGGCTACATTAGACCTGCCCTGACAAAACTGAAAAATGGGCCTCAAAAGTAACTTAACTGCCTGACAGAATAAAATCTAACACTCTTTAAATGAGGACAACAAAACCCAGACACTTAATAATATCCAGCACCCAATAAAAAACTTCTGGATATGCAAAGGAGGAGGAAAGTGTGACCCATAACCAGGAGAAAAATCAGTCAACAGAAGCAGACCCAGAAGTGACAGAGATGATGGGATTAACAAATAAGACCTCAAAAACACCTATTTAAAATATTTTCAAGAAATTAAAGGAAAACATGAGTATAATGAGTAAAGAAACGGAAGATAAAAAAGAACAAAACAAAGTATCTAAAGATGAAAATACAATATCCGAGATGAAAATTTCACTGTAGGGGATTAACAGCAGATTTAGACACACAGAAGATTAGTGAACTTGAAGACACAGATATAGAAACCATGCAAACTGAAGCAAAGAGAGGAAAAAGGCTGAAAATTTATTACATAGAAGTAAAATTTATATAATAGCACAAAGGATGGGAGGGGTAAAATGGAAAAATACTGTTGAAAAATTCTTGTATTATACATGAAGTAGCATAATATTACTTGAAAGTAAAGCATATGATAAGATACATACTGTAAACTCTAGAACCATCACTAACAAAGTCTCCAAGACCAGACTCCCCTCAGGGGGTGACCTCTGGGTGACCTGAGAGGTGCAGCCTGGATTTACTGGTCCCCATGACACACTCTCCCAAGAAGCCAGTGCAATGAGTTTCTCATGCTTCGCTCTGGACCAGCAGGCCTTGCCACTCTCCTGGGAGTACTCTCTAGACCCTCAGCTGCCTACAGGATTTCCTTCCACTAGGGGATGGGACTGTCATTTTTCACACCTGTTAGTATTAATTCTTTACACCACCTAACAAGGTAGGGAGGGTAGGATTTTATTATACCCATCTCTAGAAAAGGAGACTAAGAGAGATTGAGTAACTGGCCTAATGGCTGTCAGCAGGCAGGGTGAGAGCCACAGGCAGGAGCAGCACCCGGGTCTCTGAGTACACAGTCCTTTCTGCCATCCCTCAAGCCTCAGACTGGACTAGGCAGAATACTGCCTGGAAGGTCTCACTGGTGCCTGGGGTGGCCCAAGATAGAGAAGCTTCATTTGGGGTTTACAAAAATGATGCAGTTTGGCCAAAAATTGCTCAAATCATGATTATTGGTTGCAAAACTTGTTCAAACTGGCTTATATTAGCTTAAAATTGGGCTTCCTGCTTCAGGGTAGAATTTTACACCTTCCCTTCCCTCTGACTACAAAGTAGAAAGTACTCAAACATAGAAAAGTTGCACCATACAGAACAACACCAAAAATAAATAAATGTTCATAATTCTACCATTCAGAGAAAAAGGCTGGATTTTTTTAGTGCAAGTCCTTCAGTATTTCTTTCATGCCCCATTCTTCTCTGCTCCCTACCCCCTCGCCCCAGCACTGATTTCAGTCATATATTCTTAAAAGTATCACTTAAGGCCCCTTTATTTTCTATTTCCCATCTCATTCTGGAGAGTGGTCAGAGCTTAGGAGTCAGAAAGACAGGGGTCGCCAGCTCCATCACTGATGAGCTGTGCGTTCCTGGCAAAGGATTTAACCCCTCGGGCCTTGGTTTCCTCAGCCGCAAGGAACTGCTGTGAGGAATAAATGTAAAGTGCCTATTATATAGTAAGTATATAATATATAGTAGCTGTTAGTGATAATATCTTCATTCTAAAGTCAAAATCCCCCAAACAGAATTTCCTTCACTGGTGGTACAAAAGCAGCAGAATCATAACAGCCGCTAATGTTTGAGGGTTAAGTCTTTGTGTTAAGTGCTTTACATGCACTATCTCATCTAATCTTCAAAACAAACCTAGGAGATAATTTTATCTTCTCTTGACAGATAGAGGAAACTGAGGCTCACAGAGGTTAACCCAGTTACGTGAGGTCACGCAGCTGGTAAGTGTGACAATGGCATTCGAGGCCGTGCTTGTGCCCACCAGGCGGATGCTGACAGGCAGGACTGCTTCTTCTGTTGGGATCCCTATATCTAAGTTCCCAGAGAACCCAGAGATTTCCCATACAAAGTGAGCATCAAAACATCTCCTATAATATCAGCCCAAGGAGTATGGAGCAAGGAAAGGAGGTGTTTGGTTAGGGGTTGGAGAGGCAGCCCAGGGGAGTCTGGTTTCTGGTTTCTTGTGACAGCCCAGGTTTGAGCCCTGGAGGAGACCAGGCCAGGATTTGGAAAGCAGGAGTGAGGCTGCATGTGGCACCTCTGACATCTCACACTGCAGAAGCCCCAGACAAACCAAGCTTCATCTACACAGTTGAGTGACAGAGTTCAGAATCAAGTCCCAGAGACATCATTTGAGCCACTGGATCCAGCTATTCCTGAAGCTAACCCTATCCCTACACTTGAGTGATATGAGTCAAACAACTCCCTCTTATTTCTGCATAAGCTAATCTGATTTGGGTTTCTGTCACTTACAACCAATACAGTCATGACTAAAACATGT